CACTCCCCAGATGGCAGCAATAGACAGGGTTAAGATAGGCTAAAGCCCAGAACTTCTTCCTTGTCTCTCAGGTTAGTGGCAGAAACCAGTAAGTGACCCACCTGAGTCATCTTATGGTACTTTTCCAGACTATTAGCTGGCCCAGAAGTAGGAGGAGCCAGGACCTGAATGGCACAAATATGGAATTCCTATGTCAACAAATGCCTGCTTTACTTACTAAACCACAACTCCAGCCCCTGGTTTCATTGCTTTTGACCATGAGCTCTGCAGGCCTCAGAAATGAGAAGGATTCCTTCATCCAGAACTATTTACCACTATTTCAACCAGATGCCAACAACAGGTACATTGCTTCAGCACCAAACTGAGGGACTGTGCAAAAGTTATTACCACTAAGTACAATTCAGATACACAACTCAAAATATAGTACACATCAAGTTTGCAACAGTAAGATTGTGCCTACAGAGTTCAAGAAGGGGGTTTAAAGCTGGTAAATCATATTTTCAACTGCTTCTCCATGGTATTGCTACATGGATGTTTTGCTTCTGTTGTTCAACTAAATTCACAAAATTGGAATTACAATAACAGGTCACTTTGTGCCAAGATCCTGGTTTCTAAGACTATTCTCCAATAAAAAGGATAAAGGTTCTTGGGAGAAATAGCTAATTCTAGGGCTGACACAAAAAATAAACAAGATGAGGTTAAAGTATCTTACAGAGTCAAAAGGTAAGAAAGTATCCAACACAAAACAAAAGTAACAAAAGATCCAGAGAGGGAAGATCTGTGGAAAGGGACTACGTCAGGCTGAGTTCTGGGAAAGGACCAAGAGCTGGGATTAGAGCTGGTTTCTGCAAAGGTTTGAAAAGGAACGCCGGCTCCAGTTCAAAGAGATCCCAATGGCCCAATTGGGAAGAATTAGAACAACAAAATAAATAAACCACTACTGGAATAAAACCCAAAGAATGAAACAAACATCAGTCCTCACTGATATCACAATTAAATAAACACATTAATGCGGGAGGAGACAAATCTCCCATTCAGAAGCATTCCAAAATAATCACACTCAAAAAAAAAAAAAAATAGCCCTTACTCAAAGAGGCCACCTCCTCTCAGAAAACACTGTAAAGGGGGGGGGGGGCAGATACTGGGCAGGTGATCAAGTAATGGTGACAGTATGAATTCTTCTTTTTTAAAATTGTATTTAAACTTAGCAGCTTATAGTATTCAAGCAAGAGTTTACAGAACTTCGTGCATGTTAGGATAATCAAAGCAGATTTATAACTCTAACAAGCCATATATTAACAACTGAAGAGTAGAACAGTCTTAGGCAGTACAAATTCTTGAAGTGATGTAGTATGATGAGAAAGATACCACATCTTTAGGGTTTTTCTTCCCAAAAAACATAATCCCAGTCTAATAGTGTCAGAAAAAGCTAAGCTTAAGGTCATTCTACAGATAGCTAACACTATTCCTCAGGATGGTTAGGGTCATCAAAAACCAATCCTGATACGCTGTCCCAACCAAGAGAAGCTTGAGGAGACAAGATAAATAAATGTAATGTGGTGTCCTAAAGGATCCTGGAGCACAAAAGGGGCATTAGGTTAACAAACAAACAAAAAATAACCACTAAGGAAATTTAAAAACACGAGCCTTGATTAATAAGGCATCAATTGTGATCACGGTTAATTCACCACAATCTACTATGGTAATTAAGATATTAACAGTAGAGAAACCAGGGATAAGGGAAGACATATGCTATCTTTATCTCTACCTAAAGCCATTTTAAAATTAAAATCTAGTTTTAAAAATAACCTTTAGTTCTGAATCTAATAGCCCCTCCCTCACTTTTTAGAATATTTTTTTAAAGATTTATTTTTTTATTACAGTCAGATATACAGAGAGGAGGAGTGACAGAGGAAGATCTTCCATCCATTGATTCACTCCCCAAGTGGCCACAATAACCAGAACTGAGCTGAGCTGAGCTGAAGCCAGGAGATTTTGCAGGGTCTCCCATGCAGATGCGAGGTCCCAAGGCACTGAATAATCCTCCACTGCTTTCCCAGGCCACCAGTAGGGAGCTGGATGGGAAGCAAGACCACCGGGACACAAACTGTTGCCCATATGGGATCCCAGTGCATGCAAGGCGAGGACTTTAGCCGCTAGACTACTGCACAGGGCCCTCGTTTTTTTTTTTTAAAGTAGAGATGGTAACCCATATTTTATATGATTTTTTACACCCCTCCTCCCATACAAGTACTCTCACTCAAGTACTCAGGTATTTCCAGTCTCCTAGGAGACAATCAGTACCCTCTTGTAGGCTGGCATTTGCTTCGAGGCTTGGGCTTGTCCTCATTGGCTAAGGTCACTGGTACAAATGTTTCAGGGCAAGGCAGGCAGATTCCCACTCCAACCAGTTCTCACTAAGCTGCATCCATCAGAAGCACAGAAACCAGACTTCTAAGAAGCAGCTGTGTTCGCAGAAGCCTCTGTCCTGCTTTCAAGAATTTTCTTCCATTGGTCCTCGGTCTCAGTCACGTCATTGACTTGGTTCAGACGCAGACGAGGTTGCTGTGGCCTCTGTTGCCATTCTACTTTTTCCCCACCCGCTGCAGGCCAGCAGGATGGCTCACAAGCAGATCGAATACTCAAGTACCAGCATGTCCTGTTACCTAGAGAACAAAATCCACCTAATGTCTGAGGAGGAATGGAGGAGACTTGGTGGAGCCTAGGATGGGCTCACTACATGATTCATGAGTCAGAGCTGTGTAGTCTTCTCTTTGGACGCCCTCTTCCAAAAGATGAACAGAAACGAAGTATATCTGGAAATGGTCAGTTCTTTTTCAAATGTAGTATATATGTGTGTATAGGGGAATAGTCAGTGGATACTTGAAAAACGTACAAATCATTCATCCAGACCTGGCATGAGCTGCTTTCTTCACAGCAACAGAGCTCAGTTACACGTGACTGCAAGTAGGTTCCTGTAAGGTGGTGAAGATGCTAGTCTCTCTAGTCAGTTTTTCTTTGGATTTAAGTGCCTATTGGACTTCACCTGTTACTTTCAGTAAATAAAGTCTTCTTCCATTGACTCATGGGGAGACACATGGACCTATGCCTTACCTCGACAGTCTTTGGCTGGAACAGGCCCAGGGATTCTCTGTGACCAGCTTCCACTGCCTTCCAAGCTCCTCTCCGGTTTACAGCTTCCAGGACCACTTGGCCATCTCCTTCTCAAGCTCCATCTCTTCCAACACTGTTTTTGTGGTCATCCCCTGATCACCGACCAACCATGACCTCCCAGATCCATCAGCAATATTCCTTTTAAGTGGAGGCTGCCATCTACTGCCTGGTCAGTTTGTATCTGCAGGTCTCCTACACATACCTCTCTGCAACAGTGTGGCTCTGTAGGCAGTGGGTGAGCTGGCGGAGGAAAAGCTTCTCTTGAAGATGCAAAATCAGCACACTAGTCACACCCTCTTTCAGGATGTACAGAAGCCAACCCAAGATGAGTGGGGCAAAACCCAAGATGCCCTGGAAGCCTTCTTGGGCCTGGAGAAGAAACTGAACCAGGCCCATCTGGAATTTCACACCTTGACTTCTGCTGGCACAGACCCTCATCTCTGTAACTTTTTGGAGAACACTTCCTGGACAAGGAGGTAAAATTCCTCAAGAAGACAGATAACCACCTGACCCACATCTGCAGAGTCACCAGTCCCCAGGGCCCCCAGGCCAAGCACCCTTGGAATGGCTCCACCTCAAGCACAACTAGGGGTGATCCCAGCCCAGCGGCCTCAGGCATGGTGGAGCGCTCCCTGCATCTCCTGGTACCCAAGTTCGTGCCTGACTGTCCCCTCCAGCCACTAGGCTGCTTGTTAACAGGCCCAGAGCTCTCTTGCCCCATGTAAACTTGTCTGCCAAAAAGTCTTTTGATCTTAACCTGTTTTCCCCACCCTAACCCATAGGCAGGCCTTCTGGGCAACTCTGAAGAACCTCTGCAAAGCCTAACCCAAAGCTCTGTGGCTTCATCTTACTAAAGCCCTGCAGGTGCGTCCAGATGTTCACCCCAGACAGTGGTGCAGAAAAGGAGAAACAGTTCAAACACTCCCAATCTGAAATGACTCTTTAAAAGCCTCAGATTTTGAAGGATTTTGGATTTTCAGATAGAGATCTCCAAATAACTGGTAGTCTATGCCTACTTTTCAAATCCAAAAGACCCTAAAATACTTCTGATACCAAGTGTTTTAGAGAAGGGGACACTCAAGCTGTACACAGACTAATGAGAATGGCAGGCAAAATCAAAAGGGTGTCACCTTTCAAAAGACAGCCAGCAGTAAGAGGAGAGTGGAACAGAGGAAAGGGCACGGGAAGACAAAGAAGCACCAGCCAAGACCAAGAGCGAGATTCTCCAAACTTGGAAAACTTTAAAATTCACAGCAGCTTCCTAATACATCACTGTTTGTGGTGAGGTGGCCCTATGGATGAGAGCTACAACCAGACACACTTGGAACTTTCAAGGAAGCTGTCCACATGGTCAGCCAGGTACAAGCAGCACAGAAATGTCTAAACCTGGAGGTTTGGGAAACAAAGGAGTGAAGTAACCCTACTCATAATCACATCTTAATTAAAACCAGTTGGCTTTATTTCCACATTTTATGTAGGTAGGAGTAGTATAAAGGGTTTATTTAGCATGGTCTGTTTCATTTGAAGCTTAAATGTCGTAGGTTGAAAACCTGCTTTGTGTTAACAGCCAGGCTTCATGATCACCCTATACAATCTGAATCCAAAATGTGTTTTACAAAGAAGATAACATGTTTTCAGTGTTTCAGACACCACAACAAGAGTACTTCATGATCAGGATGGTTTTCCATAGCATGGAGGGTGGACTTCTCAGTGGGATATCACCTAACCACCCCACAGGACAGATACACAACACCTGGAGCTGACTGGACTCTTGGGAGGAGCAAGATGGAGAAGATGCATGAGGTCTGCCGTCAAAGACCACCTACCACGAGGGCCAGGCCACCAACAAGCACGTCATTGCTCACTGCAGCACTGTTTCACCATAAAAGACTGCACACCATAAACTGCAAAAAAAAAAAAAAAAAAAAAAAAAAAAAAAAATTTGAAGCCTTCAGTCTACAATATTTTATAACAGCTCAAAGACACTGATTCCTTTCTCACCCAAAGTCAGTCTGCTGATGAGCCCAACAAGGACATCTACATTTCTGTTACAGTGTTGTTGTTGTTTTAATGTAATGGGAGCATTAACTTTTTAATGTTCATTACAGAGGTGATGGGATGGGGACTGCAGACCCATGTGGGCCTCCAGTAGAAATGAAGAGGATTGGGAAGGGGAGAAGAGGTGAGAGAGATGTGTCCGGAGAGAGATGTGTCCGTGGTAGGAGTGGGGAGGAGAAAGAGGGTGCACAACTCCTGCTGTCAGGAGTTGTGCATTAATAGCAGGGAGTACAGATGGTTTCCTGACACTGCCTGGAGGCCTTCAGTGCAGGTGGGTTCGGGAGAATGTCCTGGTAGAGTTACCTGAGTGTGTAACTCTGTGTAACATTGTGTGTAACACTTAACTCTTCCGGCCCGGCATGGTAGCCTAGTGGCTAAAGTCCTTGCCATGCATGCACCAGGATCCCATATGGGTGCCAGTTCACATCCCAGCTGCTCAATATCCCTTGCAGCAACCTGCTTGTGGCCTGGGAAAGCAGTTGAGGATTGCTCAAAGCCTTGGGACCCAGAAAAAGTTCCACATAGGAAACCCAGAAAAAGTTCCTGGCTATACTTCAGCTCAGCTCCAGCCATTGCAGCCATTTGGGGAGTGAACCAGCAAGTGGAAAATCTGTCTGACTCTCCTTTTCTCAGTAAATCTGCCTTTTAAATAAAAATACGTAAACCTTTTTTTAACAATGCTGTCTGTCTTGAGGCTGGGAGGCTACACAGCAGAACATCTCCCTGTCTAGCCAACCATGGCAACAGAGTAGCCAACAGGACAGCGGGACAGCCCTGAGAAGAGGAGGGACAGACAGCCTGTTCAGACTGCTGTTTCAGGCCAACGCTCATGGAAGAAATGAATGACACAGTACCTAAAGCAGAAGTCATAGGGATGTTCAGTGCCCATAGAAACAAACCCTGCAGCACAGGAGGACACACCACCTGTTCCACTAGCCGCATAGCACGCACAGGCCCCGTGTGCCCCAGCAGTCCACATGTGCCAGATATGGAGGACACAGGACCTGGCCCCTCAGCAGCTCCACGCTGCACTCGCTATCCACATACCACCGGCGCAACCAAGCAGTCACCGTCCAGTTTCAAGAAACAGCTGTTTTGACCACAAGTATCACAAGATCAAAACTGAGAATTAATAAACAGAGCTGAGGCAACACCTGAGAAGACTGGGTCACAAAATATGAACAATGAAGAACAACTTCAGGCAATGGTAAGCTTGGAGAGCCTGGGTGGGGAGTCATGTGCAGTTTCAATTGCATTGCTAAGGACAGTGTTTCCAACTAGCATGCATTTGCTGCATTATTCTATCATTAAAGCATTAAATACTGCCTAGCAGACATTTTTATTATAAAATATAATAAGGTATACCAAAAGTCACTATCAGTAGTTTTTTTCTTGTGTTTTTTTTTATTTTGCTTTTCAAAAATAAAATGTAACCACAATTCTTTTAAATATAGAGCTTAAGTCAGAAGCTGTGCATCTCTTTAACATGGGAGGATTCCACAAATCAGTTTGGATCGTGGCCCAGGCTCACCAGGCTTCTTCCTGCGTGCCCATGCCTGAGCTATCAGAACTGACTTGCTGGTTTTCATGATAAGCCCTCAGGGAAGACACCTCCTTTTAGGTAAATATAACAAGGAACATAGCCACTTTACAACTGCCACAGCTGTTCTTTTTAAAGATTTATTTTTTTATTATTTTTTTTATTGGAAAGGCGGATATACAGAGAGGAGAGACAGAGAGGAAGATCTTCCGTCCGATGATTTACTCCCCAAGTGAGTGCAACGGCCGATACTATGCCAGTCCGAAGCCAGGAGACTCTTCTGGGTCTCCCATGCGGATGCAGGGTCCCAAAGCTTTGGGCCATCCTCGACTGCTCTCCCAGGCCACAGGCAGGGAGCTGGAAGGGAAGCGGGGCTGCCGGGATTATAACCGGCGCCCATATGGGATCCCGGGCGTGCAAGGCGAGGACCTTAACCACTTGCGCCACTGCGCCGGGCCCTGCCACAGCTGTTCTTTTCTACATTCCAAGAGATCCAGTTACACCTGTCAATAGATACCCATCTTTAAAATATTTATTTTTATATAGTTAAAAGTCAGTTACAGAAAGAAGAGGACACACAGAAATCTTCCATCTGCTAGTTCACTTGTCAGGTGGCCACAATGACCAGGGCTGGGCCAAGCTGAAGTCAAGCACCAGGTGCTTCATCTGAAACTCCCACGCGGCTGGAGGGCCCAAATGTCTGTGCTATCTCTTGCTACTTTTTCCAGGTCGTTAGCATGGAGCTAGATCCAAAGTGGAGAATCTGGAACTCAAACGGCAATTACATGGGATGCAAGCGTAGCAGGTAGAGACTTTACCCACTATGTACATAGCATTGGTCCCAGGTGCTATTTTCATTTTTTCAGCCTCCATAGCTCTTCCCCCAACACATACCAGCCGCCTCCTTGTAGGGTCCTATTCTCTGGACCAGGTGCAGCTGGTCCCTGGCACATGAAGAGCCTGCTGGAACTAGTGCCAGTCAGCTAAGTCATATTGATCAAGAGCAGCCTTTTAAGCTGCATCCCTCAGGAGCGTGATTTTACACAGACCCCCAAACCTCTGCCTTAATATGTGACAACATGGGAATCATAGGCATACAGGTAGAGAAGAAAGGGAACAGATACAGAAAATATTTCAGAGCAAGACACTCACATGACCTGCTAAAGCCACTATAACTGCGTTCACTTGTTCAAACTTTGCAAGTATTTTTAAAGATTTATTTATTTTTATTTAAAAGGGAGAGTTATAGAGAGAAGGAGAGAGATCTTTTATCTACTGGCTAATTCACCAAATGGCCACCTTGGCCAGAGCTGGGCCCATCCAAAGCCAAGAACTTCCAGGACTCCTACATGAATGCAGGGGCTCAAGGACTTGGGTCCTCCTCTGTACCTTCCCAGCAGGAAGGTGAGTCAGAAGTGAAACTCCAGGACTCCAACCACAGTACATACATGGAATTCTGGCACTGCAGGTGGAGACCCAGCCTGCCACATTACAATGTCAGCCTCAACTTTACAAATTCTAAAAGTATTCATATAGGTGCTGGGGCTGTGGGTGAACAGGCTAGTCCTCCACCCTGAGCTGCTGGCATCCCATAGGTGCTCTGGTTCATGTACTGGCTGCTCCACTCCCCCATCCAGTTCCCTGCTAATGGCCTGGAAAAGCAGCAGTGGATGGCTCAAATCCTTGGGACCCTGCACCCAGTTAGGAGACCTGGAAGAAGCTCACACAATTCCTGGCTCCTAGCTTGTGGATCAGCTTAGCTCAGGCCTCTGTGGCATTTGAGGAGTAAACTAGCAGATGGAAGACTTCCCTCTCTTTCTCTCCTTCTCTCTGTAAATCTGCTTTTCCAATAAAAGTAAATCTTTCTTTTTTTAAAGCATGCAACATGGAGCTATTATGCCAGCACAAACTATTGAACAACCCATCTCCAATACAGCACATTCATAATAAAGTGAAAAGCAAAGACCAGCCATGCTGCAGAGAACACCTGTCACTAGAGGATATTAAAGCCCATCCTGGTGGTGGTGGGCACAGATAGCAACACCAGAAGAGCAGTGGTGCTTGAGGAAAGCCAGCCATGGCAGCTTCCCTTGTCTTCTGGGTCTCTGTAAAGCACAACTGACCAGGGGGACAGTGACATGCTTAGAGGTCTCTCCCCAGGACAAGCCGGCCTGCTCACACGGATCAGTTAGAGAATCAATGAAGCTCTCCTTCTCCATAAATATTACTGAAGCTCCACAGAGTAAGATTACTTCACATGGACAAACTATGTCATTGAAATATTACACATAAAACCATTTCATATGGTAAAACCATGCTAATCTCAACCCAAATACATCTTCCTAAAGAAACCAGCGCCCACCAGCAGGCCACAGAACTATGCAGGGGCTACCAGAAATCAGAACAAATGAGCATGAATGAGCAAGAGTTCTTCAGGCCACCAAGAATGCTGGATGTCATGTGTCAAGTGAGCTGACACTGGCATAGGAAATGCATCAAGGCTTCAGGGGAAAGGCATGTGGTTTCTTTCTCTCCAGAGAGCTTTTGGAGAAGATGACTTCACTTCCATAATGAGGAATGATGTCCATGATGTCCCTCACCCTCTGGTTCACCTGACCTCTGACACTTTAGCATCACCCCTGTTAAGAAAACATCTTTAAGTGTCATATGTAGAGCAGGTTTGGAAGAGGTATCTTTTTTTAACTTTTCTTTACTGTGGAAGAATTTTATTTAGTTTTCAAAGACAAAAGAAAGCTTTGCTGGATATGTTATCCTAGGCCGACAATTTTTTTCTTTTAGAATCTGGAATGTTGGGCCTGGCGCAGTGGCGCAAGTGGTTAAGATCCTCGCCTTGCACGCCCAGGATCCCATGTGGGCGCCGGTTCTAATCCCGGCAGCCCCGCTTCCCTTCCAGCTCCCTGCCTGTGGCCTGGGAGAGCAGTCAAGGACGGCCCAAAGCTTTGGGACCCTGCACCCGCGTGGGAGACCCAGAAGAGGCTCCTGGCTTCGGACTGGCATAGTATCAGCTGTTGCGCTCACTTGGGGAGTAAATCATCGGTTGGAAGATCTTCCTCTCTGTCTCTCCTCTCTGTATATCCGCCTTTCCAATACAAAAAAAATAATAAAAAATAAATCTTAAAAAAAAAAATCTGGAATGTCTCTCCATTCTCTTCTGGCCTGTAGTTTCCTGTGAGAGGTCAGCTGTGAATTTAATTGCCATTTCTCTGTAGGTCAACTGGCTTTTTGCACGTACACATTTCAGGATCTAATTTTATTATGTTCAATTGATAAGAATCTGATTATCAT